GGGGGGGGGAGGGAGGGAGAGAGAGGGAGGGAGAGGGAGAGAGAGATTACCCCCATCTTTCAGGCAACCTCCTTAGACACTCAGCTGCCAGAAGCTGAGCTGGGATTTCACCCCAGGTCCATCTGATTCCCGCACCATGCTCTTAACCCCTATGCATGTGGGTTTTCGACGAGCAGCTACATCCGAGTTGCTTGAGCTTCTTGAACATACACACATTTAAACATACTGTTAAAGAAAAAATTACTCTGACACTTGATAAAACAGTAAAGAAGACTTTATTCAGGACTATAGCAGTAGGGGAGGGAGATGGGGCTCAATTCAAAATATGGCAAAGAAAGCTGGAGATTTATAGCCTAGGGTGGGGTGCACAGCAGGGGTCAGTGGATATAAAGTTGCTAAGAAGACATCTAGGGTATGGGAGATTGTTGCTAAACTGACTTAACAGGACTCTTGCTGAAGGCAGGCCAAGGGGATCAGATATCAAAGGTAAGGGATCCTCACTAAACTGACTTATCAAGATTCTTGCTAAAATTGGACTCAGCAGGCTGAAGACAGGGCCCAAGGTCCAGGCCTAGTCAAAAGGGGGCTCAGAGGAGCCTGTCTAAAGTTTGGTCAAGGAGAGAATCTTCGTTAATACCCAGCCCCCCTCCCCACCCTTTACTCCAGGGAGATAAGGGGCCACAGCCTGTCTTTTGTTACAAAACCACCCAGTGAACCTGATGCACAGAAGCACTGTTATTCACTGTTCTGCCTCCTGTTAATGACTGAGGGACTGAGACAGAGAGGCTGGTTACCTTTTTGACCTGTTATCAATGGTGCTGTGCCCCTGGCACGATGCACTGTCTGTTAGACTAGTGTTTCTCCAATTTGAGCATCAGAATCACGTGGAGGCCTTGTTAAAACACAGATTACAGGGCCCATCTCCAGCATTTCTGATTCAACATGTCTGGTGGATGGGCCAGCCTTGACGGTCTAGTGGTTAAAAGTTCCACGCTCTCCACCTCAGTGGCCCAGGTTCACTTCCCATTCGTGGAACCACACCACCTGTCTGTCAGTTGCCATGCTGTGGCAGCAGCTCACATAGAAGAACTAGAAGAACTTACAACTAGATATACAACCATACACTGGTTGTATAAACAACAACAAAAAATCTGAGTGAAGCCTGAGAATTTGCATTTCTAACAAGTTCCCAGGTGATGCTGATGCTCCTGGTATGAAAACTACACTCAAAACCATTGTTCAAGACCATTCTTTCTGTTGCCTCTCTCCTCCTTTTATTTGAAGCAATATTTTGTCTGCTCTTAGTTGGGGCATAATTCATCTCACTTACATCTCTGAAGGTGGTTTGAGGACTGGGAAGAAGGGCCGAAGACTTCAGATGCCTCACTGTGAATACTCTAAAAAGGTAGTGCTTGGGAGGAAAAAAGTCAAAGTGTGACTAACTTGACTTGAGGGAACTTGATGGGGTCAGTTTTAAGAACAAGGAGCATGATCACTGTGCTCTAAGTCCCATTCCCACCTCTATCCTGCAACAAAGGAATCACAGAGTTCCCAAGGGAATCCACAACTTCCACAGTGCTCAAGGGCTTGTGCACATCACTGTTCTCTGTTCCTTAATCTCTATACTATGGAAAGGTGTTGAGGCAGCATAGATCTCCACTCTGCCTCTTCCCAAAGTAAATAATGTCCATTCTCCTCTCCCCCCCGCATGCTGGGGAATCATTCTCAGGGGGAGACAAGAGTCATAGTGGTGTTCTTATTGCCCTTGTGTCTGGGGCAGGAAAAACAGGCCTCAAATATTGGCTCCTGGAGGTAGGTTCTGAGATTTTGCAGAATTCTAAACTTCAGCATGTCGCTCAAGTCAAAATCCAGATCCTGTGACTGCTGCCGAGGTAGAATATTGAAAATCAGGTTTTCCCAGGGAAACCCAGATGGATGAGGCCTGTGACCACTTTGCTGCTGGGAACAGGCATGGACATTTCCATCATGTTAACAGGGAAGAGACCGCACCCCCTGGAGGAGCTCCCCATAGCTCCCATGTTCTTTTATGACCAACCAGATTTCAAATGGATCTAGAAGAGGGGAACAATAATAGCACCCAGGTTAATAAAAGTTTGTGAATCTCCTTGCTGGTGGTTTTCATATTATTACTTGTGTGAATTGGTGGGTCAGAAGAGGAAATAGCTAGATTTTCAAATAGTCTCTACCATCTTTCACAAACACATAAACATGTCCAGGGAACAATACCCTGGGTTTAAGACCATGCTGTAGGGGAGGAAAGACTTCCTCTATCCTTAGTTCTCTGCCTGGGACCTACAAATTAAACTGACAAAAGACAGATTAACAGGAGAAAAAGCATACAAATTTTATTTGATATTAATACTTTTACATGACATGGGGGGCGCTCTAGGAAGAAGTGAAAACCCCAAAGAAGTGATTAGGTCTGAGAGCTTATATCCCATTTTGACAAAACAGCGATAAATTTGTGGAGAAGCGACAAGACAAAGGAAAAGGGATTTGAGCTGCTAAGGGGGGTAAATTGTGGGAAAGTGACCAAGAAATATATGGGAGTGTTAAAAAATAAAATTCAGCTGAGTAAATTTAAAGATCTAATTGGCTTTATTCAACGATTCATGAATCGGGCAGCATACCATCTAGCAAATAGAGAGGAGCTCAGAGGAGCTATACAAAGTGGAAGACTTTCATAGGCAAAAGGAGTTAGGACAAGGAAGTTATTAGGACAGAGTGGATTGTTTCAGGCAAAGTCACCTTCCTTTGGGGGACAGAGGGGGTCTATCAGGCAGATTTCCTCACCAGTCTTGACCAGAAAATTCCAAATTGACCTCTTAAAACTTACATTCCTGGGCTGGCCCCGTGGCTTAGTGGTTAAGTGCGCGTGCTCCACTACTGGCGGCCCGGGTTCAGATCCCGGGCGCGCACCGACGCACCGCTTCTCCGGCCATGCTGAGGCCACGTCCCACATACAGCAACTAGAAGGATGTGCAGCTATGACATACAACTATCTACTGGGGCTTTAGGGGAAAAATAAATAAGTAAAAATTAAAAAAAAAAAAGTTACATTCCTGGGAGAGGTTGAAACTGCAATTAGGTTAGGTATTAAGTCTTGGTTTGCCAATGCGGGGCTTAGCACAAATGACTCCATTTGGGGCCTGTTGTCTCTTTTTTAACAGGGGAAACTAATGGAAGATAAAGATTATTTTAGTAGGTTTGTTGGTACAAAACCTTCTCAGGGTGGATGCCCTGTCTCTGGGGATAAGAATGTTCTCCTCTCCCTGGTCCAGGGAGGGTACTTTTCTCATGGGAAATTTATGCTTTTGGGTAGAAAGGGGGAAGGAGAGAGCTCTTCTTGCATCTGCTGTTTCTTAACTGCTTTCAGCTCAAAATAATCCTTATGCCAGAGTGGCATGTTTTGGGGGTGGCATATTCTGATCCCCTACAATGTCTAGGAAGACAGGTGCAGACTGAAAACATCTTATCCTCCTGGGATTTGTGCTGTACACCATATCAGGCTTAAAAGAAACGAAAAACAGGAAGAAATACCATTTTGGTCACAGCTCCATGCCATACAAAAGAAACTCACTCATGTTTACCTTTCATTTGGTTTACTGAGAGTGGTGGGGCAAGATTTAAGATGACTAGAAGAAAATACATTTTTAATATTAACATTGGGAAAATGCTTTCTCCCTCAGCCACACTCACTGTTAATTTGGTGCGACTCCAGTGTGGGTATTTAATCACCAACCAAACTGCAAGATGGTAAGTAGAAATTGGCTGAGGACTTAGAGAACTAGGAAGTTGCTTGTTATGAAATAGTCACAGGTATGAGGGAAGAAAGTGACCGTGCTAGCTTGTTGCTTTGTAAAATGATACATATATTTCACAAATGCCAATTGACCTTTCTGCTTTCTATTTATGTAGAGGAAATGCCACCAGCTATTTTGGGTGATGCGGAGATAAGGCACACAAAAGGAGAGTCATGGAAGTTAATTATTTAATGTATTTGGGGCTGAGGCTGGAGCAGAAGCTCTTGGTCTCTTATAAAAGAGTCCGGCATCACAGTGGGCTCAGGAT